CACTATCTACTCACACACTACCGCGTCACGTTGTCCCCCTCTTATATATACCCGACTACCCTATATCTAGTAAATACTAGAGCATTCGCCAAAGTACAGGATAGTTCTAGAAATGTGGCGTCACTGTAGTCATGTGACTCGCTGACGCAACACAAACAAACAAATTATACATTACATTCCTAATCTTAGACGGAGGTAACCACTAACTACACATCTTTTTTTACAGCTGGGGGATGATATGAATATAAATGCAAGCTAAGGGCTTTAATAGATGGCTTGCTGAAAATACCAGTAATGATTTCCCCATTCTTAACATGAATTTTAGTATCTAGAAACGGTAACATTCCACCTGGTATGACATAAACATGTGTAAATTTTATGAATGGGAGAACAGTATTCTATAACTCATGGAAACGAACAGAAGACTTTAAATTAGTTTTCCAAACTCCAGATACATCATCTATGAATCTGTACCAGATTGATGGGTCGCTCCTGTTTTCCAAGAATTACGTGTTTTCAGTTCAAATATATGTATAAATATTACAGCTAAGAGGTAATAGGGTAGCAGTAGTATAGCCATAAATATTACAGCTAAGAGGTAATAGGGTAGCAGTAGTATGGCTATAGGTAATAGGGTAGCAGTAGTCTTAGCTGTAATATTTATGGCTATCCTCTAGTCTGGTGATAAAATTATCCGTTAAATCTTACATACCTATTACACACCTCATAGCTCGTTCTAACCAATCAGTTGAAATATTTAAAAGTTCTAAGTCATATCTGTTTTCTCTTACCATAGTCATAACACAATCTATCCCTTCTTCAATTGGGATATAATTGAAAAACATCCATCGTAAACAGAATGGGATTATCATTACGTAACTGTTCCAGAAAATGAGTTGTGTTGTTGATATGAGCAGGGATTAAGTCCAATAATGGGACTAAGTTCAGTCTATTCAAAACCCACGATATACCTTCTGTCGGATATCTGCAAGCGGGTGCTATAGGGCTCAGGAGTAAATCAGACTTGTGGCCTTTAGAACGGCCGTGGAATTCAGGGGCTCGAGTTTTTTTACGGTTTTTAACTGTCCTCTAGATGTAGAGAAGTATAAGCACCTTTCTTGAACGAAATCGATTCTGCATTTACTTTCAAGTGTTTTAGAAGGATTTCTTTTTAATTTATATAGTTATTTTTATTTAATAAATGCATATAAATCCTTCGCTCATAAATGCTAAAACTAAAAGTTCTTCACTTTATCGGATCCTTTATCTATAATGTCACTATTTCCTTTTAATTTATTTAAAGGTTTATTCTCATGAAAAAAAAATAAATTAGGTTTCATTATGTAATTACGGAATTTCCCTAAAATGTTCGACACCTTTCTGGAAAGTTCTGCGGTGGCTTCTTCTGTTATTGTCTTTGTTTTCACTGCGAGTGTCTTAGGATGATCAAAAATTTTGGGTCAAAAGCAAGTTAATTGACAGTTGATGTTCTTCTCGTTGTTCTGACGAATCTCTACTGCTTACATTATATGTATATACACACATTTCTTTTTAATGCAGTGGTTTATACGTATGTTTTATCCTTTCCTTATGTTTCTTTTAACCAACAGATGGCGCATTTTGTTCTGTTGCCATGACCATCAAAGGTACTTTGAATTTCATACAAATATTTCAGGTCTGATGAAGGCTCCAGCACTAAAGTCGAAAGCTAACCAATAATAAATATCTAATGTGAGAAATGTCTAAAAATCTGTTTAATTTTTAACTTGCATTATTCTTGAATAGGAAAATAGACATTAAGATAGCTTTTTTTTAAACTTTGCTTTTAAATTCTAAATTATATATATAAATGTTAACAAGCAAAACATAAATGAAACGTTTTTGATCATTTAGAGCATTTTTTTTTAAATGTGTTTGTATTTTATTAATATTTTATTCGGTTAAACATTTTAACAGAGAAATTACCTTCCACTCAAATATAATATGCTTTAAAATGCATTATTCTTTTAGTGAGCAAGGTTCGCCAATAAAATGTAGACG